AGTTGTGTGTGTTTTCTTTGTTAGGCACATGCATGGGGTGGAGCTGACGATTGATCAGAGATGCAAGACACAGGAAATCTTAACCTGTTGATCAAAAAAACAGCCTGAAAAAACAGTTTTCTAGCACTTTTCAAATCCCTGTCAACAACTCAAATGGTTAGTTCTCTCTTGTCAAATGAAACATTCTACAAATAGAAGCAGCAAAAATATTGAAAGACTACGGCAGTGTTTCCCTACGGAGGTAGACGTGTGCCATCTGATTTTGAATTTTAACACTGAATTTTCCCATCGTTCCCAAACTTATCCTTCATAAAATAAACAAAACCCATGTTTACTCAAGCTCAAATGACCAGAACACACATATAAATAAATATATATATAAATATATATATACAAATAAATTGTTTATTAAGGAAATGTCTTTATTGTGTGAAAAATCACTCAATATCAGCATCATATTTTTTTTTATCTTAGCATACCCGCTAGTGGCTGCTCGCTCACTCCCAGAGGTGGACCGCACTCTACTACGGAGAGAGCACTGGCTGTGAAAGCAGCAGACAGATACGCACGGTAAATGTCAGCGTTAATTAGCTAACGGCTCTATTAAGTACCACCCATCAGGACCGAACACAGCATGAAGCAGGCGTTTGGAACCTGAAGCTACTATAGCTGAGGGAAAATGAATTTGACGGAGAGTCCGGTTAGATCTAGTTTACCTTGCAACAGGCGTATCTTCATATTGGGTAAGAAGAACGCAATGGTGAAGCATTATGGGTACACTGTTCGTTCAAAGGTGGTATAAAGACAATAAAAGAGCGGAAAGACAATCTCTTTATCTGGCTTTTGCTTTACAGCCGAGTGCAAGACGGGCAGTTGTCTGGCTGATTGTGCCTCCAATAAAAAATACTTTCTAAGATACAGTAAAAGGTAACTGCAGCAACGCTACGTTAGGTGTCTACGAAATGTTACGATTAAAAACTCTCGGCCTTGTTTATGTCTCCTGGGTTGTTGTATAATGTAAAATATCTTGCATTCTTTTATGTTTAGAACGCTTGCAAAATTGGCAAAATTTGCCATCACATATTGAACCACACGCGCCCGTTGCTGCAGAAAAAGCAGAGCTAATAGTCAGTAATGTGTGTATTTTTAAACTAAATTTGCTCCAGAGTCTTTAATCTCACATGTAATATAGAACTATTTTAGAAATATAATTAACAATATATATAATATATGTGTGGAAATATTAATATTATCATTGATCTTCTGAACCCATTATATAAGGGGTGTCAAACTCACTTGGGTTCAGGGGTCACATTTAGCCTGATTAGATGCCGCATCATTACCTATAAATAACATTACATAACACGTTTTTTTTGTTTGTTTGCTTCCATGCAGAAAATTCGAGATTATTAGAAATTCACATTTAATGAAATGTAATTTGACAAAACATCACAAACATGAAGTGTTAAATTTATCCAGATTGAACCCCCGAGTGGGCCAGTTTTGGCCCACGGGCCGTATGTTTGACACCCATGCATTACATTGATCAATAAAGGCTTACTTAAGGATTCCACATAGTCCAATTCTTTGTTACTTTAATTAAATATGTTTTTAAAAAAAACAGTGGACGTGTCCTTGGTAGTGAAAAGGTTGGACATCAAAACGACCTCACGTTAGCCTTGAGGGAACTCTTGGTAGCTCAGCACACCGACCTATTGATGTGATTTTGATGCTCGTACATAATCTCTGGTACATGCCGTAATATGGTCGCAGTGGGTGTCGCTGTGAAAGATTAGAGGGCTTTTTAAAGAAGAGGAGAGGGAGGTTTTAGCAGGATGAGATACAGGAATGGAGAGAGGATTATGGAAGACACGGCTTGGAACCTTAAATAATCCTCGCAGTATTCTGGACATTGTGTGTTGAGGCTTGAGGCCAGTTTAAACCGTCACAGCTTGTTTTTGTTGCAGTCTTGTGTTGTATTGTTTTTTAAACAATATAATATATCAGACGGCATGCAGGCAGTCAGCTCTCTTATACAGAGACAGGCACTCTCATTAACAGCTATGTGCCCGTAAGTGCAGCTCTCTAAGCTCCTCCTACTTTCAATGCTCTGAGTTCTAATATGGGTATTGCCATGGTTACATAAAATTCAGGGTTAGGAGGTCAGCGGCTCTGTAAGCAAACACCGGATGGATATGTGACTGGCTGGTAAAGACGGAGGGATACTCTGAGGGACGTGATGTAAGCTGAAAGGGTAACAGGAGAGATCAGGAAGGAACTCATCACACTACCCTTAAAATATAAATAGTAGGTGAGGAAGTTTATGATTTAAAAAAAAAAAAAATCAACTTCACGGTATTTTTTCTTCCAGCTTTGTTGTTAATAATTTTTTTTTCCTTACTTTTTTAACATAAGCCTGAGGAGCTGAAACTATAGCAAAAGATTTATCAAAAAAAAAAAATTCCCCGACGTTGGAGAGTGTTATCGTAAAGCAAGGTTGTACTGGTAAGACTGTGATATGACTCAGGAAATCATTTACAGAGTGGAAAAAAACGGTGACTCAGCCCTCACTTACATTAAAGAGAGGAGGGAGGGAGGGAGAGAGAGAGAGAGAGGGGTGTGAAAGGCTTGCTCCACTGACCTACTTACTGTAATCTCTCCCTCCTCATTTCATAACTCTGCCTTGTAACATGATATGTTTGTCGTCTTCCCTTTTCTTGCAAATCCATTTTTCTTTTCTCTCCAGGGTTGATTTGAATAGTCCGGATGTTGGAGGCATAGCCAAGGGGTTTTCCACAGCTTTCTTACATAAACAACAAATCTAAATAACAAAGCCATGAAAAAACAAAAAGAAAAAATAAACAGAAAGAAATGCATATCGTACAAGTCCGAACGTATTCTGAAAGGGTAGAAGAAGAAGAAGAAAAACTTTCACTGAGCACAAAAACGGATGGAACGATAAACACATAGACACAAAAAAGTCAAGCGATGCCGGCTCTAATATATTTTTTAAAAAAGTGACACATTTAAAATATGCTAAATGCACTGTTGATTCGGAGGAAATATTTTAATTATTTATTTATTTAATAAAAATGTGTCTTTACATAATTTTGGAGAAGCGATAGTATTTTCTCAGATGTTATTTGTGTATTATAGCTGTGATTTTTTTTTTAACTTTGACTTAATTAAAAAAACTACTATACAATATGCAGAAAGAGAAAGAAAATGTTTGAGTAAAATGCAAAAAAATATAATTAAACCTCCTTTCCTGTTTTCAACGTTGTTGAAAAGTGACTTATTGTCATTGTGACACAGGTGGTGGATTCAAACCTGCAACCTTTTAGACACCAGACTTCCACTGCCCTAGTGGATGGAAGGTAAGGTACAGTTTTTATATATAAATCCAATCCTCTTCCACCATTAATCGATTTTTCCACATGGTACACGCCATTTATGTCAATACAATAATTTTGTACGTAATATATTAATATAGTAGTCAATACCAAGTGCCTCTCGTGTCTTTTTGAAGGGGTCTTTAAAACTTGTCGCACCTTATGTTAACGTTGTATCGCCAAAGGACCATAAGTGTGCTTGAGACGCGTCAAAGTCAAAAATTCACTGTGTCCCAGCAATGGACAGAAAAAAAAATTTATATTGATTATTTTAATGTATTTATCACTTGTTTCCTAGTCAGACGGTGGTCTAGGAAATTAATGTGTACGTTCGTTATTGCCGAGTTCCCACGCTGTACGGCTCTCGATCTGAACTGACACACTGCCACACTTTCCCACGCGTGTGCGCGGAGGGCGGGCGGTGGTAAGCATCGAGCACGCGCGTCAGCTCACGGGGCACGAGGCGGGCGGACCACAGGCTGAGGATCATGTGTAGTCCACGCGCCGAAACTAGGTTAGAGAGAGCAGAGACAGCACAGAGCAGAGCAGAGCAGAGAAGAGAAGAGAAGAGAGTACAGAGCTGTTTGTTATTCTACAGACGCTGATACTTTCTGTTCACTACTGCACCTGTGCAACAGACTCCGCCGAACTCACACGGACCAAAACAATGAGACTGCTCTCTGTGTTTTAGTTAGCATAGAGCTTAGAGGTTTTATTTAGTTTAGCAAATAAAAGTGGAAGCGACATATGAAGATTAGTTCTCGCGACTATATTTTTTAAAAAAGTGACACATTTAAAATATGCTAAATGCACTGTTGATTCGGAGGAAATATTTTAATTATTTATTTATTTAATAAAAATGTGTCTTTACATAATTTTGGAGAAGCGATAGTATTTTCTCAGATGTTATTTGTGTATTATAGCTGTGATTTTTTTTTTAACTTTGACTTAATTAAAAAAACTACTATACAATATGCAGAAAGAGAAAGAAAATGTTTGAGTAAAATGCAAAAAAATATAATTAAACCTCCTTTCCTGTTTTCAACGTTGTTGAAAAGTGACTTATTGTCATTGTGACACAGGTGGTGGATTCAAACCTGCAACCTTTTAGACACCAGACTTCCACTGCCCTAGTGGATGGAAGGTAAGGTACAGTTTTTATATATAAATCCAATCCTCTTCCACCATTAATCGATTTTTCCACATGGTACACGCCATTTATGTCAATACAATAATTTTGTACGTAATATATTAATATAGTAGTCAATACCAAGTGCCTCTCGTGTCTTTTTGAAGGGGTCTTTAAAACTTGTCGCACCTTATGTTAACGTTGTATCGCCAAAGGACCATAAGTGTGCTTGAGACGCGTCAAAGTCAAAAATTCACTGTGTCCCAGCAATGGACAGAAAAAAAAATTATATTGATTATTTTAATGTATTTATCACTTGTTTCCTAGTCAGACGGTGGTCTAGGAAATTAATGTGTACGTTCGTTATTGCCGAGTTCCCACGCTGTACGGCTCTCGATCTGAACTGACACACTGCCACACTTTCCCACGCGTGTGCGCGGAGGGCGGGCGGTGGTAAGCATCGAGCACGCGCGTCAGCTCACGGGGCACGAGGCGGGCGGACCACAGGCTGAGGATCATGTGTAGTCCACGCGCCGAAACTAGGTTAGAGAGAGCAGAGACAGCACAGAGCAGAGCAGAGGAGAGAAGAGAAGAGAGTACAGAGCTGTTTGTTATTCTACAGACGCTGATACTTTCTGTTCACTACTGCACCTGTGCAACAGACTCCGCCGAACTCACACGGACCAAAACAATGAGACTGCTCTCTGTGTTTTAGTTAGCATAGAGCTTAGAGGTTTTATTTAGTTTAGCAAATAAAAGTGGAAGCGACATATGAAGATTAGTTCTCGCGACTTTTGAGCAGCTCTGGTTCAGAGCTTTATTTTCTTGCGTTTTATTCCCAGCTGGACGTGTGCATGACTTGAAGAATTGTAGAGAAATTCAACCGACAAAATGAGAGGTGAGTACACTGGAATGGGGATTATTGGTTTTACATTGGTTTTACAAGGTGTAATTTATGCAACATGTATAAACAATGTCGTCTTTAAGGGTATTCTGAAGATAATGTTCGGTTAAAACCAAGTCTAAAGTACACTCGGTTCACATATCTTGTAAGAAAATATAAAATAAATGTCATGTGTCACAAATGTTGTCACTATTAATTACTATTATGCATAGGAATATTTTAAAGTGGACTGCTTTTACGTCTCCGTTGCATTTTGCACATTTTATTTTATCTATTTATTTTCGTCAGGTTTGTGACATGAGTAAATGCGTAACAGCTGAGGTTACTTTAATTCGCGGGTGAGCAACCCCTCTTATGTAAGAGCTGAGTAGGGTGGGAGGGAGGGGGAGCGGAGTGATTCAGCGGCTGTCAACGCGAAGGGAAATCTCGTCAACAGGCTAAGACTGGAAAAGTAGTCCCTCAACATTTTTCAGTTGTTTCCTCTCGGTTTCTACACTGCACACTTAATTTGAGTTCTTCACTTTCGTGTGTTTTAAACTACAATTTCGATTTTTTTTCAGTGGAGTTATGTCAAAAAATATTCCATAGTTTGTAAGAAACTCGATTTGTTTTGACGCACTTACGGTTTAGCACTCAGTGAATCTGCCAACGCGTTTTGTTATAAGCGTTAACATTGTGGCGGCCAGTGTGTGGGAGGGGGAGTGAGGGGGATAAGGACCGATAGGAGGTGCTCTATTGACCTAATTCTGTCAATGAGGATTATAGGCAGCGTGTGCGCGTGTTCGCGCGTGTGAATGTCGATGTAACCAATGAGTCAGTGCATATTAACTAAATTGAAATAAAACATTAATGAACTCACCATTGAACACTATCAAGAACAATATAATTATATATGTATTTGTATATGTATTTAGTTACTATCAGCAACAAAAACAATAATATCACAGGGTATAAAAACACATTTTAAGAACATGTTTAATTGGTTCTGCGGAAGAGGAATAATTAGGTCAAAAGCACGGGATTGTTCTTCGTTTTTAGGATGTCATAGCCATGTACCGCTGTGCGAAGCAGGATGTGGACACAGCAAGCCCACATTAGCCATGAGGCACATCAGGCTTCAGTTAAGATCGGTTTCCTCTGTCAGATAGTGTTACTTACATCAACCAGAGTGCTTGTTGGTCTTGTCTGGCATGAGTTTTTGGTCAGATTTCTTATTTACTAAAGCTCACAACCTCGAATTCCACAGTAATCCTTGAGTAATTTGCTCATAATATTAAAATATTTTTGTCCACTAAAAATTAAAATTCATGCATTGGTCCAAAAACTGATGTTTTCTACTTTAAGTTCACAGTATTGCAGTATTTGTAGAACTCCGGTTGCAAAAGTGTTGCAAAATCGATTTAGTGATTCTGAGCAAAGATCAAAAGTACAGTAGTCACAGTAAAACAGGAAACGTCCCACTGTGCACTCTGCTCTTGCAGGACCCTGCTGTGTTTAATTAATGTGTTAAATTTTCAAACACACTATCTGGTAAATACTCAGCCTTAGGGTTAGGGTTACAGTGTGTCAAAGTATATGGATAACGCCATTAAATAGACATATGCATTAATAATGAAGTATATATGAGTTTAATAAATATCCTGTAACACTAAGTCCTCCATTTTCTTGCCATTGTGATGGTATTTTTACGAGTAGAAGAGACTGCCAGATTTTTTTAATTACTGTGTGAATCATAGAAGGAAGAAATAAAAATAAATAATAATATTCCCGTCAGAAGGAAACATGAATCATCTTGAACGTGTTCCAGTTGCCTTACCTGCCTTATAAATTGGTCTAGGTATTATCTATCCTATAAAAGAACCCTGCCATTCACTGTCTGAATTTCTTTTTTTTTTTTTTTTTTAATACTTAAAAAAATGTTCATCAAAGTGTTATAGGTGAAGTGGCGTGTAGGCCTTAGCATCTTTGCGCACACCAAAACCTGTCATTCCACTCTACAAATGCATCTGCTGAGTAATTACCTGAAGCTTCTGTCAATTTTTAAAGAGCTGGGGGATAGTGTCAGGCCATATAACACTGCCTAAAGGTAGGTCAGTCAGTATATATGGTACATATACTTTACTGTCCCAGTATATGGGCTAAAAGTAAAGCTAATGTCACCTGTAGGCTTTAGATTATATTTATTATATATATATATATACAGTATATAATATATGTATACTTTTCTTATCGCAATATTGTCTATTGCACAATAAATCATAAGTGACTTAATATTCTTAGATTCTCAAAGTCAGCTGAAATGTAGGTTAAGCATACAATATGGCAGGTAAATGTGAAGGACTAGGTAAATAAGACCTTCAACACTGTTTGATTAGCTGGGTTGAGAGGCTAAAGTCCCCCCCAAGAGTTTACAACACTAATGAACAAAGTGCTGAGATTATTACGTTCAAAAAATATAGTTTTACTCCTTACCATTCGGGTAAAGTTACAATAGGAATAAAAAAAAAACACATCACAGTCAATGATGCAACTTTTATAGGATTGCTGCACTTGACTTTGCACTTCATTTCAAGGTTGTGACTTATGCAACATTTGTTTGCTTTTTGCCCAGAAAGGTAAAGGGAACCATTGGGCAGCCGACTACACGGAGTAAAAATAGTTTTACGGTCTTGCTCAAACACAGCTTCAGTTTCACGCGAATACTTGACATGCTGCTACAAGTCGGGAGCTAACATTAGTGGCGGCTGGTCCACCTGCTGCAGCTTCCAGTGCTGCCTTCGTTAATGTTTCCAGATGTGTTGTTGTACACGTTGCCAAATCTCGCCGTGGTGCAGCTTGACCATGCGTGTCTGAGCAGATCATCAGTCTTTCTGTTAGGAAACCACTTATTGTTTTCCTTTCAAACATCGCCCTAAGTGTGACTCAGAATTGTTTTACCTTGCAAAATAAATCACAGTGCATCCTTTGTAAGGCTGCCACGGCATAGCAACCTATACTCCCATGCCCCCCCGCCCCTTCTCTGAATAGAAAACTGTGTCAGTGGAGCACTTTCCAGCTCTCTGGGCCTGACTGTACCACTCAGCTGACAGGCAGGTGAGGCAGCGAGTCACGTACAAAGCTGCTTACTCAGCAACCAATGGGAGCACCCGAGGGTTGGAGGGGTTGACACCTCATTGCCATAACTACCACCTTCAAAGAGTGTGTTCATGAAATGCAGCCAGACAGCAGTTATATAACAAGCTAAAGGGAGGGGGGCTGGTGCTCCGAAGACGACACGATAAAGGGAGAGGTTTTTTTTTTTTTCCCTTCTAATCGTCTTAATTATTTAGATCTCATCGCTGTGTTTCATTGAACAACAGGAATAGTAATCAAACATGCTGTTTAAATGTCGTACTGTATTTCATTTACAATACAGAATACAGGCAATTCAGACCATTCTCCACTGTATCTGGATTTTGAGTGAATGAATTATCAGTCTTCTTGTGACACATTTCTTTCACCTCACAAGTGTTGTGATTGGTTTGTTCTAAGGAGTTTATGAAAGAGCCTTTTCAAAAGACTGCATTTTTTTCAGCTGTAAAGGCTGGCTCAGGACTCTGCTGTGATTGGCAGGTTACCTAATACTCTGTGTGATCCGACAAAGTAGTTTTAGGGATTGCCTCGCATATCCCACTGCTTTGGCTAAATCAATCCTGCGCAGACTGGGTTACTTGTTTGTTTTGGGGTTTTTTAGTTGCAATCATTCGATCTAAAAGGTTCAACACCCAGGTTATAACTTTGTTATCCCAACATTTTGTTCATACTGAAATGAAATGGCAGGGGGAGAGTAGGAGAGCCACGAAATTTTATAACCCTGGGCCTCAGCTAATGCAATTGAACTGCTATTCTGGGCTTGAGGACAGCCGGCTACTTAGATAAACAACATAATGAAAAGAACATGGTGTTCCAGGACAAAGAACGCTCATGCTGCAACAATAAACACAAGGTATATAATGCAGTTCAATTGGTGTCAACTATTTGTAACTGTATTATAAAACTTGTGGTGCCCACCAAACAATTTTAACCAAAAGTCCACCTTAATTGTATACGTGCAGGATTTGTCGTCAAGTGAGTTTGATATATTCTTCACTTCTAAGGGGGAATATTGACTGAACGTATAGTTTAAAATGGTCCTTTATAACAATGTTTCTACACTCAAAGGAAATTTAAAATTAACTTGTAAGTTCTTAATCTAGTTCTTCTTGCTGTGTCATTGCAAAGCTCTACATTTTTTTTCTGTGAGTTAGTATTTAACTAAATTCCTTTTCTTTTCTTTTTTTCCTTCTTTTTAGCTCAAATAGAGGTAATTCCGTGCAAGATATGTGGGGACAAATCATCAGGGATACATTACGGTGTCATCACCTGTGAAGGCTGCAAGGTAAGCTGTGAATCCTATTTGATATGCATATTAGACAGTGTTTACTATCATTAACACAGACCTTGTAGCGGAACAGTTGGATGTTTGCTAAAACAACTTTGTGCCTCTTCTCATCTTTAGGGTTTCTTCCGACGCAGCCAGCAGAACAATGCTATGTACTCCTGCTCGAGACAGAGGAACTGTCTCATTGACAGGACCAACCGTAACCGCTGTCAGCACTGCAGGTTGCAGAAGTGTCTCGCCCTGGGCATGAGCCGTGATGGTGAGCGCAGCTACTCAATCCATATTTAATTAACCCAGAGTTTCCATCCACCCACCCACTTTGCTGCTTATCGCACTGAATCATTCATGTAGTTCCTGATGTGGCTCGAACTTATTGGGTGTTTGAATGTATTCTTCCCACTCGTGTTACAGCGGTGAAGTTTGGTCGAATGTCCAAAAAACAGCGTGACATCCTGTATTCAGAGGTCCAGAGGCACCAACAGTCTCAGGCCGGTTTGGGCGTCCGTGACGATAAAAGCGACATGGGCGACCTTAACTGTGCCTACAGAAGATCGTCCAGCACCACACTCAGTGATCTGGACGACATTACCGCGCTGCCCGAAGGCCTACTGTTCGAACTCCCGCTGACCCCAGAGGAGGCTGCTGGAGACTACTACAACCTGAACATGCTGGGCATGAGTGGAGGGAGCAGCTCATCCTCCCAGAGTTCACCAGAACAGACCAACATAGATTTTGGAGAAGGCAACGACAACATCAAGCAAGAGTACCAGCTGTTGCACGACCCCGGTCTTTTCTCTCATGCTATGCTTAACCCGCTACCTGGAGGCTACTCGCTACTTGAAATAGGTTAGTAGCACGTAGGAATACACAGATCCTCAAACAACTAGTCTTTAATGATTTTTGAAAAAGACTCATTCACAATGAACTTAAAGCTATTATTTGGTTCTTGGGAAATTGTGCGAGTGCTATTCAAACAACGTATCATTATCAACAACATTTTGTTTAAGTTGAGGCAATGAGGCAAACATGTCGTTTGACATAGTCTGACATACATGAAGTGATGACAAACCTAAAAACCACCATTAAGTAAAAATCTAAAGAATTGATTGCAACAACAACAGCACACCGTCTAACTGTGACTATGTTTTCTCTGTTCAGAGCGCATTACCCAGAGCATAGTCAAGTCCCATATAGAGACAAGTCAGTACAGCACGGAGGAGCTGAAAAGAATGGCATGGACCTTGTACGGCCCAGAGGAGACACGCTCTTACCAGACCAAGGTATGTGTTTATTTTCTACACAAGTCCAAGTAGGTGACAGTTAAACATCATTCCAAGGACATTGACAAAGAATATACAGTAGAATGAAACTGTATCTATAATCATGGTATTTGTAAAGTAGAATATTCAATATCAATATCAAGCTAGTTGCTTCTCTGATAGACCCTAAAGTCTTCGCTCATATATACTCCTTTCTGTCTTTTACAGTCGGCTGAGGTGATGTGGCAGCAATGTGCCATTCATATAACCAATGCAGTTCAGTATGTGGTGGAGTTTGCCAAGCGCATCTCTGGATTCATGGACCTGTCTCAGAATGACCAGATTATTCTGCTCAAAGCAGGTCAGTGTGTAACGTCAGCATGTACACGCATAAACACACACACACACACCTTCTGAGAGACACTGTGGGTGGGTGGATGGATGTTACAGTTTTGGAAACTTGCAGCTTTGAAACGGACAGCTGTTGTCGTGTGATGGGTAATTACTGTCAGGTGGCAGCGGAATTCAGAGGTGTAGCGTGGGAGAGGTGCGTTGTTGCTGTGTTTCTGTTGATTGGATTGATTTCCATCATGTAGCGTCTCTGGCTAAGTTGAACATAGTAATCATGCCAAAACAATGCATTAATCAAAACAACTGATCGTTTCATTTTCCTCATATTTGAATGATGAAAGACGAGAGAGCAAGCCTCCGACGTTACTGTAACAGGGCAGCAACGGATTAATTAGACGCTTCAATCAGTGAAGTCAGTGAAGAAGTTTTCACGCCCGTCTGTATAATTGGGCAAACGTAAATAACCCCAGTGGGCGGATGACTATTACAGGCTAGTGAATCTGCGCTCATTATTGTCATTATTATTATGAGCTATTGTTCTCAGAAAACATTCCCGGAAAAACCAACGCTTGTTTACTCCTTGCGAGAAATTCCAACAGCTTTCAATCAAGATAAGCAGGTTATATAATGCGCTGAGACTCCAGGTTTCAGGAATGAAGCGGTGGCTGCGCAAACGTCGAGCAGGTTAATTACATCAATAACATCTGTTGATGGCAAGGTGCAATTACTCCGTCAATCACAGGCTATCAGCTGAATTATGAAAATTGTTGCTGTTACTGAAGAATGTGTTGCAACAGAAATAAATCCAGACAGACCAGCAGCTGTAGCCTTTCAAATGTCACAGATTGTCATGGCAATGCTGTTAAGGCTAGTTTCTTTTTTTCACTAATATTCTGCAATGGGAATTGCAGCCTGTGGGGTCGCCACTATCATGCAGAGGAGTCTATTGTTTTTAAATTCATTTGGAGCTTTTCATTTTGGTTCAGTTAATTTAAATGTGTTATCCAAGGGGAAAAGCGCTCATATTTTGCTTATATAGATATGATTGTTTAAAGGCCATTCTATAACAGATTAAGGGATTACAAGTCAAACTTATTTTCTAAACACCAGCTAGAAGTTTCTTTCCAAAACATTGTAACTTATAAGTATCTGTATTCAAACCTTTAGCTTTTTTTGCCCAACTTATTTTCTAAACACCAGCTAGAAGTGTCTTTCCAAAACATTGTAATTTATAAGTATCTGTAAGTTACAATGTATTCAAACCTTTAGCTTTTTTTACCTAAACTATGTTGCTAACCTTTTTTTTTTTTTCTTTCTTATGTCTCAACAGGTTGCATGGACGTTCTCCTCATTCGTTTGTGTAGGGCCTACAATCCCATCAATAACACGTTACTCTTTAATGGAAAATTTGCTACAACTCAGCTTTTCAAAGCTCTGGGTGAGTCAAAATGTTTCCAACCCCCCGTCTTTAGTTGATTAGAAAATGAATGTGTGATCCCTGTCAAGGTCATCAGACTCTGATGTGTTTGTTTTATTTATTCATGTTTTTGTACTTGCTCCTTAGGCTGTGATGACCTCGTCAGTGCTGTGTTTGACTTGGCCAAGAACCTGAGCCACTTACAAATGTCAGAAGAGGACATAGCTCTTTTCAGTGCTGCTGTGCTACTCTCACCAGGTATTTTTACACTGGATTTTCTCTTTTCAAATACTTATTTTCTACATCCCTTCATTGAAATATGTTGTGGAAAACAAACCTGAAACCTATTCCTGAACCTTGAGGATGGTTTGGCTTTTCCTACACAAACAATAAAACAGTACTTTAATTAAACTATATACTTTACTATAATATATATATGATATTAAAAACATAATTAAATACATATATGTATAATATATTTGACATTTAAAACTAATCTTTGTTAGTGTTTTTGTGTGTGTGTGTTTTGTTTTTTTTAAAATGGTACACTTAATCTGATACAAAAAAAGTAAAATATATTTTGATTTTGATTATCGTAGCACAGAACAGCTGCGGCAGCTCAGTTTAATTATCATACCTAAACCTGCAATGCTGTGC